AGGCCCAGGGAATGATCTATCCGAACTTCTAGAAGAACAAAGTTGCCTGCCTGAAGAAGACTCTGCTGCAAACAAAACAGCAAGAAATGAGGATGAAATCATTACCACCAAGGAAAGTTGGTTTTCTCTTTTAAAAGGCTACGTATGGGAATCAATGTTGTTACTGTTATTTTATTTGCCTTTATTCGTCATTCCTTGGGTGATTATATATTATTATGAGTTTTTATTTTTTCTTTCTATTTTTCTTTTTGTCGTCTTATATATAGCAATGGCCATTTGACTCAGGTGTGTTGAAGTAGAGATACATCCAAAAGTTGCAGGAGACCCTCGAGGACCTGGAGTCCATACCCCTGTCCTAGACGATAAGGTGGGAAAACAAAATGAATGGATCATCAAGCAGAAATGAAGAACGTCTTTCTAAAAATAATGAGAAAAAATAACCAATGAACTAAGTCTTATTTTTATGACACTGAACTTGAAAGTAAAGATGAAAGTCTCTCCTGGAATACTTTACATGTTTGAACAGAAAAACTTAGTTTGTATTTTCAAACTTCTCGTCATCTTTCTGCCGAATTTGACCAGTTATTGCGTAACGTTTTCTCCGTGACATTCGCTCCCTGACAGTTTCAGATTGTGAAAACTGTGGGTGCGAGTCGCTGGAGGATGCTACGGCCGGGCTTTAACCTCATGCACACATTCGTATTGATCCATACAAGCCTCAGTGACTGTTGCTACAGAGCGGCCTGCCCTTATCATCCAGATCCCCCCCTCTGTCACCAGCCAGTGGTGGCTAACAAGGAGCAACACACACACACCCTAACACACACACCAGTCCTGCCTCCATCTTCACCCTCCCTCTTTTTCTTTTTCTTTTTTTTTTTTTGCTCTCCCTCTTTCTCTACCTCACTTTTCCTCTAATGAGTTGCAACACTGATAACGAGCCTGATGATCTTCCATTGATTCAGCTATCACTTGCTTGTCTGGTAATTGATCCGTAGCTGAGCCTCTAGTTAATTATATGGGCTTCGACATGGACCCCTGCCCCACGGGGAATTCTCAAGTCCTGCACAATAATAGTTTTAATAAAGGAGCCTGAGAATCTCTAGGATCCTCTATATTTCTGCAGCTAATACAGATTTTTCATCATTCTGTTTCCACTCCAATTTTTTTTCCCTCCTCCTCCCGCTAGTAGCTGCTATCAGAGAGAAAAAGGGGGAAAAAGTGTGAGAGAAATGAGGAGGAAGAGTGAGCTCTATTGGCAGAGTCCACTCCTCCCTCCCACAAATAACAGCCATTAAGCAGCCGGGTCAGAAGCTGAGCCACCAGCTTGACTTGAAACACTGAGTGCCACTTGAAAAACCCACAGACTAGCACATTTACAGCCGAGGGGAAGGGAGAGGGAGCGGGGGAAAAGTCTGGAGAGGGGGAAAAAAAGCAACCTTGGCGGCTAAATTGTCACTTAATAGAATTAGCCTGAGCCTCATGCATTATGTTTTCAATAAGTTGTTAAGAGTAAAGCTGCACGTCGAAGGGGTGATACATTAAGTATTTTATGATGGTGGCTGCTGACAGCTCATAAAATAAGACGGGGAGATAAAAGTAGAGATGCTTTTTTTCCTGGATAAAACAGAAATCTGTGTGTGCAAAGCTGCACGGCGACATCTTCCAGTAAAGATGGAGGCTGATGTTGGCGACAGATCTGATCCTGGGCACATAGAAAAACACCCGATTTTTATCCATTTGTAAAAATGCACTAAAGTATAAACTGTTAGATGAAATCTTATCGACTTAAACTTGAGAGGCCTTATCAAACAAACTTTTTGTCTAAGTGATCAATCAGTCAAATTTATTTGTACATCACATTTCAGCAACAAGGAATCTCAAAGTGTTTCAAATCATAAAAACATAGAAAATGATGCATACAGTCACCAACTGAAAAACCAGTAACAAACATTACATTTTGATATAGTCCATCATCAAAACGCATCAAATGTTTTTATGGTTCACAAGCAACTCTAAGAATTTAAATTATGTCGTCAAGTACAAATTAATGTTTATCCAACGTGTTAAAAATGTTTAGAAAAATTATGTTTTTCAGTCAGAGATCCACAAAATGAGCAAAAATCAGTTCATGTTAAATGTTTTGTATGTTATGCAACTGTGTGTTGATATATTGGTGGGACTGCAATTAATTATTTAAAAACATCACAAAATAAGCAACAATTTCAATTCTAAACCCTTTTTGCTGCTACATTGTTGAATAAACAAACATTTTGCATCAGATTGGTGAAACGTGTTTTTCATTCAGCTTTCAAATGTCTCATGTAGCTTCATGCTAAAAATGCATCTTTAGAAATGTTTGCACTCTTGTTAGCTTTGGGCACATCTGTGCTGCTTTAGCATCTTTAGCTCTAAGATGCTATTTTAGCTTTAAATAGCTGATATGCTAACTTCTCCTAGCACAACTTGAACACAACAAAAGTCCAATCAGATCATCTATTGCTGTCAGCCGATGTCAAGTGTGTGTCAAATTTACGGCTGTACCAGAAACAAGCAGCAAAAGAAGTTCCCTCTGAAACCTTTGTATGTAAAAATATAACAATTAAAGGGATTAATTGCATCAAACTTTAAGTAATTAATTAAATTGAATCCATAAATATTCACATAGTTCCATTGATTCCCAGGATGAAAGAAGTTGCGTTACATGAAAAGCCTGATTTGACGGTATCAAGAGAAAATTGTCCGATTCCGATCTGTGGTCGATTGGTTGATTGATGGATTGATCGATCATCTCCAGACAAGAGGAGAGCGACAGCGATGAAGGCAGGACAGGAGGAGAAAATGGACTTAAGGTGTAAATTAAACCTGCTTGACAAAAAGACAAGAAGACACATTCTGCACTTTTCTCTCGTGTTCGTGGCTGAAACGACGGGTGTGATAATCTCAGCAAAGGTTAACTCTGCTCTGCCATTAGTGGCTGCTGCTACAAAAGGCTTTTAACAGACAGCCAGGCAGCTGTCTGCAGCAATTTAGCACAAAATCTGAAGTGACTCTATAGATCAGAGGCCGTTTAATGCAGCTGGCAAGAGAAGTTCTCCGTCTGTCCCTCTGTGCTGCTGATCTGCCGTGGAAAGATCGCGGTGACACCTCCGTGGAACCCGAACCTGCCCCGTCATTTCTCTAATGACGGCCTGATTGTGAGGAAAGGAGGAGCAGGAGGCTGTAGATGAGGGAGGGTGTCTTCATTGTTTGAGATGCTGTGTCAAAGGAAATTTTCCCCCTTCTTCTTCTATCCTCCTGTGTCTCTTTTTCTCCGTGTCTGTCTCCTTCTTCTCCTCCATCCCTCATTTTATTCCCACACCTTTGCTGCTGTGGGGACCAATTTGGCTAAAATGGAACCTCTTCCTCATTTTTTTCTTAATTAAAATCTGAGCGCCTCCACGGAGCAGCAGGAGGAGGAAGAGGAGGAGGAGGAGGAGATGGTGGCAGATTGCTGCTGTTTCCATTAGTCCTTCATTAGAACTGCTGGAAATCAAACAAAGGCTGCGGAGTTTTTAATGACAACTGGAGAAACCTGTGTGTGTGTGTGTGTGTGTGTGTGTGTGTGTGTGTGTGTGTGTGTGTGTGTGTGTGTGTGTGTGTGTGTGTGTGTGTGTGCGTGTGTGTGTGTGTGTGTGTGTGTGTGTGTGTGTGTGTGTGCGTGTATGTGAGATGCCACATCGTTTGCATGAACAGCTTTTAAATACAGAAAATGCTGACTAGAAATAATTACTTTTTTGTGGCGCCCCCAATAGCGCAGCGCCCCAGTGCGTGCATGTCGAGAAACCCGTTTTTTTTCTTTTCCTTTTCGTGGCGGAGGACAACCAAGTTGCTGCCGGCCACTCGCGGCAGCCCACATGGTAATAAGGCAGGGGGACACACAGCTAACTCCCCTTCCTCCTCCTCCTCCTCTTCCTCACTGCCCCCACCTCCCGGCCCGAGCAGAGGAGGGCTGTCCGCGCCGGGGAAGTGAGCAGCGCAGTGTCACTGAGCATCTCAGCGGCACAGTTGAGAATCACCGGCCCCGACACACACTCAGATCTCTCTCTCTCCCACATTGCTCTCTCGCGCTCACACACACACAGGCGCGCGCCCACACACACACACACACACACACACACACACTCACACACTCCGAGGCGCTCGGCTCAGATCCTCCGTGGCTGCGGTGGAGTACAGAGGAGTAAGACAGACAGAGAGAGAGAAAGAGAGGGAGAGAGAGAGGGAAAGAGGGAGAGAGGGAGAGGACAGGCAGCGCGCGGACGTCAGGAGAGGGACGGAGTCACTCAGAGAGGAAGAGACGGAGGCAGGGAGAGGAGCGGGATAGCTGGTGGCTCACACTCACTCCTCATCCTCACTTTTTCCCGGGACGGCCGCTGGTTTCATGGTAAGACGCGCGACTCCGCTTCGGCTCAAACTCCCCAACTTCAGGCTCAGATTTTGTACTTTTAAGTAACTTTCCGGTTTGCATGTGTCGAGTTCTGATTTCCAACTTTTTTTGTTCCTTTTTGGTTGGAATATTTGGCAGGTAATCTGTGTTCTGTCCACACACACACACACACACACACACACACACACACACACACACACACACACACACACACACACTCTCTCTCTCTCTCTCTCACAAACACACACTCTCTCTCTCCACCTTTTATTTTTGTTTTCCTCATTCTTGCTCAGCTTTTCATCAGCCCCTCCATCCCTCTCTCCAACCTCCTCACCTCCACTCATCATCCTCCTTCTCCTCCCCCAAGATGAGGAGGCCCCTGAGGAGATTCACCCTCTTTTCTCAAACACACACTTCTCCTCAAAAAGAAGAAAAAACTCAAAGACAACACGACCCCAAAAGAACCCACCTTCGCTGACTTATTTTTCTTCTCTCCTCCTTCACACTCGTCCCTCCCTCCCTCCCTCCCTTCCTTCCTCCTGTCCTCCCTCTCTCCCTCTTTCTGTCCAAGTCCAAGGAGGCAGAGTTGGATGTGAGAAGCAGCGAGTGCGACCCAGTCCCAGCAGAGCCCAGCAAGATCCGGAGTCGCCCAGGCCGCCCCCTCCTCCTCCTCCTCCTCCGGGTCAGGTTAACCAACCCACCGGCGGTCAGAGCATCCCGTCCAGCAGCAGGACTCACCCCAGCCTCAGCAGCAGCAGCAGCAGCGGCGGTGGTGGTGGTGTTGGTGGTCAGGGTGGTGTTAGCATTGTTAGCAGTGCTGAGGGAGCAGGCAGCTCCATGCAGTTCAGCACCAGACCGCCTAGCGCCGAGCAGCCGGGCTTCATGGGGACATGGCAGCAGCAGAGCACTGACAGCAACCTCCTCTACAGAATGTCCCAGCAGGTACGTCCGCTGTGGTCCTGGAGGGAACGTTCATTTTTCCATCCCTCCGTGTGCGTGTGTGTGTGTGTGTGTGTGTGTGTGTGTGTGTGTGTGTGTGTGTGTGTGTGTGTGTGTGTGTGTGTGTGTGTGTGTGTGTGTGTGTGTGTTTACATGTTATCTTCCGCTTTTTGCTCCTGGAAAGTGTTGGATCTTAAATCAGTGCTGAAAGTATTTATTTTATTTCCTGCTGAATGCATGAACTTCTTTTATTTTATTTCATTCTCTAAATATATTTTAAGTAAACTAAACAATATGTAGGAAATAAATCCGATTCCCGTCGCTTCCAAAGTCTCCATCAGTTGCGGAGTTTCTGTCCGGGTCTCGGAGCTGCAGCAGCTCCAGCAGCAGCTCCAGCAGCTGCAGCAGCTCCGCCAGGTTCCCCCTCTGCCACCGGCTGCTCACCTTCCTGCGGCCGGCTCCAGGTGCTCCCGATCCGGACCGGCTCGTTTCTGCCTCTCGCTCCTCTGCTGCCTTAATTTTATATATTCCCCTCCAGGTGTAAACCTGCAGCCAGAGCTGGAGTTGTTTTTAACTCATTTTGGATTAAAAAAAAAAACATTTGAGGCAAGAAGGGAGGAGAGGAACGAGGGGAAAAGTGAGTGCGCGCGCGCGGGTGTGTGTTTGTGCGCCTCAGTTGTCGCGCACGCGCGTGAGGGGGAGCCGGTGAGGGTCGTGCGCGCCTGTTCGGGTTGCAGTTAATCACTGCGGGACCTGCAGGCTCCGCCGTACCAAGCGCGCGCTGTTACGCACCGCTGCGGTTCTTGCGCAACAGCTTCTGCGTTGGAAATAAATAAACTTTTTATTTAATCCTCTGGCTTTTTTTAAAGCCTCGCAACGATCAATCAGGAATAAAATAATTCCTCCACTGTTTTATCAGTCTGATCACTGGAATTAATGCTGGGATTTCACCAATATTCAGTTTTAAATTACTTCCCAACCTCCAGACGTATGAATTAAATTGTTTATCTATATATAAGGAAGTGTGAGTGGCACAGCCTGTTGTCCCGCATTCTGCCGGTGTGAGCAGGTGGATGGGCCCCTGCGCTCTGCATCTGCTGGGACCCCCCCTCTTCCTCTCCACAAACGCGCATCGTTGTTTCAATGTAATCAGCTGTGGGACTCGCTGTTATTTATCCTTCCGCGCATCACTTAGAAGATATCCTCTGACATAAATTCTCCGAAGGAAGCTCGTTCCTTGACAGACTCGCCTTATTGGAATCTAAGCGATAATGACTTTGTGTTTGCGGAGCCTGGCGCACCCCTGGGGTGTCCGGGCGGAGAGAGAGAGAGGAAGAGAGAGAGAGAGAGGGAGAGAGAGAGAGAACCTGTAAAGAAGAGCCGGGTGGCGCGGGGTTTTATAGTTCGTTAGGCCGGATTAGATGTGATCGATACGCAGGAAGAAGTCGGCGCAACGCGGTGAGTTCAGGAGAGACGCGGCTGCGCCAGAAATCCAAACATCTGGCAGGACTTCTCCAGATATGTGACAAGACAGGAGAAGGAGAAATGTTACTTCGATGTGAATTAGAAAAAATAAAAAATCATCGATCCTTCCTGTAGTTTGCAGCAGGTGCCAGATCATCCCATCTTTTAATCACTAATCGATAAGTCTCTTTTCACTTTACTTTTTTCATCTCGCGGCTTCACAGCGCAAACCTCCAACCGACAGGAGAAAATATGAGGTTTTATTTCATTTTTAAATTCTATGACAGTTAAGTGCAAATATTGTTTATGTTTTCTTTTTATATTATAGGTAATATTTATTTAAAGAACATTTGACACAAAATCGGTGTGTTGTAAAAACCAAGCAAAATAAAAAAAAAACAGGAAGAATATTTATTCTTGTGTTTTTTATCCCATCCACCTGCATTACTTTAAAAATAGTTTTTAATTTATTATTTTGTATATTTTGTGCGTGAAACCCGGATGAAGCTCCGCACTGAGGAATCTTCTGAAATGAGAATAATTAATATGTGCAGCTCAAGGCCTCGGTGAGGTTTTTAAATGGTTTTTTAAAGCAGGAAATAAACATCCCCCGCAATCTAAATACCAAAACGCAGAAACAACGAGCAGTTTGAAAAAAATCAATTAAACGGACTCGATAAATGCTGCCTGGTTTATGAGCTTTGTTCTGACATCTGTGCGCATTTTACGCAGCAAAATAAAACTTTCATATTTGTTTCACCTCACAGAAGAATTACAGAAATTTGCTGTGAGTTTAATTATTTCCCAGGCATTACGGAGAGATGATATTCGGAGCCCTAATTGACCCGCAACATGCGTGGTTCTGAATATCGAGCCCTGCACGTTAGAAACTCCGCAGTTAAGCGCCACCACGGGCCTAATTGGCTCATCAGGGATGTTTCCTCAGCAACGCAGCAGCCGGAGGCCGCGTCGCTTTTGCTTTTTTTTTTTTTTTTTTTTTTTTTGTTTAGGATCGGAGAAAACGTGGGAACCAGCACCAGGCTTCAAGGGGCTCGTAAAAAATGCGCCTTCACCTCCAACCTGCGGGTCTGGAGATGCCACACAGGCGCGCCGCGCGTTTCCGTCAGAACAACAAAAAACAAAATACAATAAAAATTCAGTGCTTGTTCTGAGTCTAAAACTAAATCTAAAATAGAGTTTCTTTTTTTATTTTCATTTTTTTGAAAGGGTGCAGTAACGCGGCTTCCTTTGAAGGGCGACAGGTCGACAATGGGCCGAGACCTGGAAGAGGTACAGTGGCACCAGAATTTACTCCTGTCTGCTTCCACCAGACTCACACTGAGAAACACAGCAGCTCCACTTAATGCAAGCAGAGAAAATACAAACGTTTTTAATGTAATTATTATAATTTACTGCAGACTTCTCTGTGTGCATTTCTCACTTCAGCTGTTAAATTTAAGGTAAAACAATTCACTTCCTTCTTGTCTGGAAACATTTTTATTTTGCTAATTTGAAAATAGTAAAAAAAAGTTGAAAATATTTGCCTGATTAAAATCTTATAATTTTAATCAATTTCTTGCTCATATCAATATTTTTTAACTGCTTAGATTTTTGCTTTCTTTTGTTTTAAATTACAGCCCTTGACTTTCAGAGCTCATTCGCTCCCACCTGTCTTTTCCTCCTTAAGTTGTCTTGTGTCACCATTTTTTCTGCTTCTCAGACGTGGGTTTTAGCCGCGTTTTGCTCCGCTTGCTGTGTGTTTTCTGAGTGAGAGCATTAATCGCTCTTTAGGGCGTGATGACAGACGTATTTGTGGAAAAGCTCTGCTTTGTTTTGTCTGAGGAAAGAAGCAAGGAGGATAATATCCTCTTCAGCACAGATCACAGTGCAAACTAATCTGCCTATTAACACCCTAATAGACTTATAGCTGCACGTCTGTGTGAAATTGTGTGTGTGTGTGTGTGTGTGTGTGTGTGTGTGTGTGTGTGTGTG